CCCCAAAATTTCCCGAAATTTGTCGAAATTTCCCAAAAAATTCCCCAAAAGGTTTCCAAAAGGTTTCCGAAAGTCCCCGGGAGTGCTCCCTTCCCCAAGGAGCCCCCCCCTCCGGGGGCCGCCATTTAGTTTTTTTTAACCCCCCCCCTTTGTCCCCCACCCTTTAAGCCCCCCCCCCCCCCCCCACCCACCCACCCAACCCTTACGCACCTCCCCTCCCCCCCCTCCCCCTTGCGCAGGCGGCATCTCCACGCGCGGCGGCCACATGGCGCCGACCCTCCGACAGCCTCCACGACCTCCCCCTCGACCCTCCCCCTCGGATCACAGCAGTGAGCTCCTACCCCCGCTACGCGGCAGGTGGAGCGCTCCGACTGCCTCAACGACATCCACGCGCTGTTTGCGGGAAGCGACGCGGCCGTCGTCACCGCGCGGGCAAAGCGCGAGGTGCCGCCTCGTTGATTAGCCATTAATGCGCAGTTGAGTAGCACTTGATTAGCGCGGGCAAAGCGCGAGGTGCCGCCTCGGGGGAATCTAGGGGAATCTAGGGGAATCCACTACTTGACCCGTGCACGTGCACCGCACCGCTCAGGTCCCCCTCGTGGCCAGCCACCTCGTGGTCGGGCGAGCGGGCTCGTGGCTCTCGAACCAGCCGGCGACCTGGTACGAGTTCCTCGCCTCCGACCTGCCCATCCCGATCCCCGCCCAGATCGTCCTCGCGCTCCTGCTGGCCGCGGCGCTACTCCGCCTCGTCTACGAGTGCTGCTGCGGCTCGCTGCGGCTCGGCCCGCCGCGCAAGGCCTCCTCCTCCGCCGCTGCTTCCTGGATGCCCGTGCGGCAGAGCTCGCCCGAGGAGTGGTGCTCGGATCCGGCCTCGCTCCTCCCCGCCAGCGGCGCCGTCCGACTGCACGTGAGCTGACGCGCAGCGGCTCCTTATCTTTCCGGGTTCGGGCGCGGGTTCATAGTGGTTCTCACATCTCAGCTGGGGGCGTGACCTTGTGTGTGTGTGTGCGTCGACTTCAAGATGCGAGTTGCGTCGAATGACTATTGTATATACCACGTAACATTGCAATATGACATAAAGAGCCGCACAGTCGTCAGTCCGCCACGACGACCCGGGACACCTTTACCCGGGAGTGCACACCCACCGACACGCGACACGCGCAGACCGGGACGGCGGACGTTCTCGGCGCTGCACTGGGCCTTGGCTATCGTATACATTAGACGTGGAGTCGCGAGGGTCGCCCCCCTCTTGCCTCACCACCTCGTGTGCGCGGAAACGTTTACCTTCAGCTGGAAGCGAGCAATGATGATTGCAGGTGAGGGAAAGGCACAATCAGAACGATGGGCTTGCCCATCCCGGAGAGTGGTTCGATCCCACATAAATCCGAGACGGTGATGAGAAGCGTTCTCGGTGGTCTCAGGCCCAGTGAGGTAGTGCACCGGTCTAACTCGGATCCTGCTGACCAAGCTCCTCTTGTAGCTCGATCGGTCACACCGCCATCGCCGTCGGGGAGAGAGGGGGGGGGACGACACTGCCTCGGCAGCGTGCACCTCGATCCTGTACCGTGTTTGTTATGACCCCCCCAATGAACATACCAGTGAGGGAGGGCGAGACGATCGAGGGGTCCCGTACCATGCGGAATCGACCCTATCCAGTGCTCAAGTGCTCAAGCAATGATAACTTTCACAGCCGGGCGAAACGAATCGTGTGGGGGTGCAACCGCGCCACGCAGCCCCCGGCGCAGACTATAGTCGAGCGCGTCGGAGAGGTGTTTGCGCTCGGGCGCAACCCATTGATGCAGCATGGTGAACTGGGCTGGCGACACGCAGCCGAGCGTCAGGTCGTGTGTGAGTGAGCAGACGGTGAGCAGCGTCCCTGCGCGGCGGAGAACGACTCGGTCGACGACGGCAGCAACGCACGCCGAGGGAGTCGCCGACGCCCTCTCTGCTGTGAGAGTCTACCGCGAGAACACGACCATCGTCGACCGCGAGGAGAAGGTCCTCCTGGCACAGCTGGAGGGCAACGAGGCGCTCCCTTCGTCCCGCTCGGCAAAGTCTCACCTCGGCGAGCGATCATCTTGGGGCTCCTCCACCAACGGCCGCTACTCGCGCCTCGGCGACATGGAGGCGGGTGCCATCGCTGAGGTCGATGAGGCACTCTGTGAGGGCTGCGTGCCCACCGACCACTCGTGGGTCTGGCCAAGTATGGCCCGTCTTCGCGGCACTCCTCATGATGAACTGTACCTACACACGCACACACACACACACAGAGAGAGAGAATTCTTGATACGAAACCACGACGACACACACCAGTCGACTCGCATCGGTTGCCTCCATGAACGGCGGAGCTATTCTCGCTTGGTTGATCGGCATCGATATAGCAAGATCTCTGCATATTGGGTTTCTGCAGATTCGTTCTAGTGCCCCAAAGC